TTAATGTCATTGATCTAATTAGTCAATACTTTATTGGACACGTAGTGGACATAACGATCGTTTCAATATTATGTTGTTGTTGTTCTTGTTGTTCTTGTTCTTTGACACGTTTTTAAAAATTCGCTTTTCTCTTCGAATACTGGACCAATTGCTTTGAAATTTTCAGTGGTTGAAGATTAATTTTTTCGCTAGAAGGCTATTACTTTTGTTTATTCTTAAATTTTATATGAATCCTATGAGATATGATATTTCATACAAAATTTCGCGGTATTTATTTTTACTCATGGGAACACTGTTTTACACTTATTTCAAGCGGTTTCGCAATCGATTGTCTTGATCAGTACTACAGCTACTGTAGGTCGGTACTGGTGAGTTGCCATACCGGTGCCGTAACGCAGTGAAATTGACTTATTCCTTCCGCGGTATTACTAATGCTGCAATGCAAGTTTTATAGCCTATCGTATGCGGAACGGAATATCAGACCTACAGGTTCGGTACCGGTACTGGTAGCTCAGTACGTAAGTACGATACTGGTACTGGTGCCGGTACCGGTGTCTTACCACAATGAAATTACCGTAACTTATTCTTTCACGGTCCTACCAGTGCAGTAATGCAAGCGTTGTAGCACTTGTAGCCTACTATATTTGTTTATTTTGATGAGAGTCTACTGGAAACAACATAAAATTTGAAAGGGAAGAATTGTTCTGTGATCAATTATCTGTCCTAAAGTGTAAATAACATAAAATTTGCAAGGGAACAACTGTTCTGTGATCAATTACCGTATATAGCCTACAGTGTACAGGTAAGATGCTGGCTGACTGCTAACCGGTACTGGTAGCTCAGTACGTAAGTACGATACTGGTACTGGTGCCGGTACCGGTGTCTTACCACAATGAAATTACCGTAACTTATTCTTTCACGGTCCTACCAGTGCAGTAATGCAAGCGTTGTAGCACTTGTAGCCTACTATATTTGTTTATTTTGACGAGAGTCTACTGGAAACAACATAAAATTTGAAAGGGAAGAATTGTTCTGTGATCAATTATCTGTCCTAAAGTGTAAACAACATAAAATTTGCAAGGGAACAACTGTTCTGTGATCAATTACCGTATATGGCCTACAGTGTACAGGTAAGATGCTGCCTGACTGCTAACTCAGTACCGCTTGACACGTTTTTAAAAAGTCGCTTTTCTCTTCGAATACTGGACCAATTGCTTTGAAATTTTTAGTGGTTAAAGATAAAAATTTTCTCCAGAAGGCTATTACTTCTTTTTTCGCTATGACGTCATCAAAATTATGTGACTCTACGTGTCCATATATTTGAGCATAGCTCTCTTGTTTACTGAATCTTCCGTTCTCACGTACTTTTTAGTCCCAAATTGTTTTAATTATTTTTGCTGATTTACTTCTGTATTGTTTGACTTAATCTGCTTCTATAATGGTGTCGCTGACATGATGACTTTTGATAGTCTTTTCGCGACCTCTCGTCCATTGCAGTTCAAATATTGTACTTTTCTCTTTCAATGAATTTATTCAATTTTTTCCGCCCGTGTACAATGTTTTTGCACGACGAAAAATAAATAATAAATCTTAGCGCTGCGGTGACCATGTGATTCGTAAAACGAGAACGAGCTTTACGTAACCTTTTCAAAAACCCCAGACTTGAGCTTCGCAAGCGAAACGAAACGCGGAATAATCAAGGTTACATGAGAGCATGTTTACCATAGTCTATCTTGGTCATCAGAACATAAAAAGTTGCCTATGAGACAGCGCAACTAGGCTAAGACCAGGGATGGCCAATTCGAATATCTCATCATTCGAATATCGGAATTCACGTTCATAAGAATATCGGATATTTGTGTGACGTCACACATTTTCGACGCCGCTTCAAAAACGTTTCCGTTGAATGAAAACATTCTCGATAGAAACTTGCGCGTGATTGTTTTTATCACTCATCAGCGTAACGTGTTATTTAGGCCCGTAAACGCCTTTACGATTGTGTTATTTTCTCTAAAACGAAAATTTTCCACAAATTTGTTCCTCGATAACATTTATTTTATTTTTGTAGGCGCACAGAATTGTGAATCTGGTAAATACGTTCATCGGCGGCGAGTTTCTAAAGACAACGCAACATTTTGATTGAAAAGCGGCAATTTAAAATACTGAAAATAAAACCGTAAACAACATAAGTTTTATTGAGGCCCGCGAAAATTTAAAAAACGCTTTTCTAGGCAGTGAAAATCGCAAAATTTCGTGTGCCTCTGGCACACATTATGTTTGGTCGGCGTTTAGAAACATATCGTCACTAATTGAGGGCGGATTGCCTGATTATCCATTACTTTAAAGTGCCGTCGAATATTTTCGGGTTAACACGATACAAGGTTTGAAACGCGACTTTTTCCCTGGTTGTGAGGATGTATATAATACAATTAATCTAAAGTATATTCAATCAATTTTATTGTGATGAAATAAATTTTACTCTGAGCATTTCGATCGAGCGGAGTCACTGTTAACAAGTACGTCTAAATATTTGCCGAATTCGCAAAATACGGATAAAAACAATATTTAATCGGACAGTTTACCTCACGTTTTTATTTTTATGGCCGCGGATTGCAATGGTATATAAGAGTGGTGAGGATTTTATTTTGTCGACGCAACCGCAGGTTAAATTGAAGACAATTAAATTAATAAGAGCAAGACATTTTAAATATGCCCGTGTCGGTCACGAATTCATCAGTTTGCACAACAGAAAAATATATATTCGTTGTTATATTATTTGTTGTGAAAGTCGACTCTTTTAACAGAATGAATATGTATTTTTAATTTATTGCTAAACTTTATATATATATTCAATGTATGAAATGAATTATTCTCTACACCTACACAGGATTTTATATAATTACTTGAGATTTTTCCAACGGCGATAACGAGTTGGCAAGATTGCAAAAATACATATTAAAATTAAATACATCAAGCAGTTTATCTCGTAATTTTAGTCACAGATTGCCGTGGACCCGAATAGTAATGTTTTTTTTTTTGACGTAAGAAGAAGCAACCGCGAGTTATGTTGGACACGTTAAATTATATTAAAGATATTTTAGAATCTCCTAGTTGTCATGAATTGAATATTTTACGTAACAGAATGATCATTATACGCTGACAAGACGGCTCTTTTAACGAGCGCAATCGCGGTGGGTGTTACAGGCGGCAATGAGAATTTCCGATTTCGAAAATCGCTGGCTGCGCGCTGGCAGTGGTGGTCATCTATTCTCTACTAATTATTTCCAACTCCAAACACTACAATATGTTACACATAATAACAATATGGTTCACATAAATTAATATATAAATATACTGGTAGGTAGTGGAATACTCTAGGCTCAATAAAGGCATAATGGATTTCGATTGTTGTTGCCTGTATTGCCAATAAATTTTATTACTTCAAAATATACACGATTATCTGAATACAAGTAGTATTTTGTCAATAGAATCGACTATTATCGTAAACATCATGGTACCAATGATAGAAAGCGTCAGACAACTCCTTGGCTATCTTTTCATATGGTCATTTGTCAAAGTGAATAATTTTAATAAACTGACTGTGTCACAAGTTGCAATATTTTTTATTAATAACTATAAACTATCAATCACTTTGTGTACATATACTGTTGGTCTGTGGCTTCATTCTGATATTTCTATTGAAGCTTATTTTCTAATTTACTGGGTTTTAATCAACTAAAGCAAAAATGTGTTATTTTCGATTTTAGAATGTATTCGGAATTCCAGATTCGAAAACATTACTTTAGAATGTATTCGGAATAGTTTAGTATTCGGAAATGGGCTAAGACAATGCTTATTTTGATTGGAAACAGTGCTGACGGTAATATTAATAATCCCGGCGCTCTCGTTTTTTCTGTACAATTTTCAAAGGTTCATGACAAAATACATCAAGTCGGCTGAATGCTTCATGCTCGTCACCTTTGGTTTACATGAATGAATGAGCGAACTCACACTGGAGAAAACTTTTTGTTTGTGAACAATGTGAAAAAGGTTTCTCTATATCTAATTTACGTGTACGCCGACAAAGTCAATATGGAGACAAATCGTATATTTATTAACAATGTGGCAAGGGATTCGCAATATCTAATTTACGAGGGCATGACAGAACTCATACTGGAGAGAAACCGTAAGTTTGTTAACGATGTAGAAAGAGTTTTTCGCAATCATCTAGTTTGCAAAAATTGTGGAAATTCTTTTGTGAAATTATCTACTTTACAAAACACAAACATCAATCGAGTGAAGGATGTGGGATGAGCTTTTCAGGAAAAATTCATTTACAGAAACATTATTAATTCAAACTGGTATATACAGGTGGGAGGAAAGCATGAACTGATTCATATACTAACCAACTTAACTGCTTGAGAAAGTCTTTTCATTTTAAAGATGATATATTCTCCCGCGGCTGATAGTGTCTTAAAAAGAAGGGAGAGGCAGTATTATTAAAAAACTTGTTTTATTTGGTAGGATCTTCCCCATTGTGGAGATTCACATTACTATTTCCGCTTCAGCTGATTGCATTTTTCACATTGTTTACAACCATGAGGTTTTTCTCTGATATGAGTTCGCTCGTGCGATTGTAAAGTATGCAAATATGGACAAACATGTGATTTCTCTCCAGTATGGATTAGCAGAAGATGCTTTTGTAAATTTGATTTTGATAAATATTTTCTGCATATTGCCCCAATGTCTTAATGACATAGAGTTCGAAAACGATATCACACATCATAATAAAAAAATGCCCACAAATTATTAAAACCTTTGTTTAATATAAACAAACAAATATCCATTCCTCATCTAACAATTACGATACTATAACACTGATAGAGAGGAACGTGAGATTGGATACACAAAAGCAAATGTAAACAAATATATATACTGCATCGCCATTCACAGCCTTGGGCATGTTTCGAAGAATATTTCATTTGAGTATATCCATATTTACGATTACAAATATAAAGTCTCTCATTACTACGCGTAAAGCCATTTCTGTATTGTTCACATGTATGATACTGCTATCCAGAATAGATAATTGTCTTAAACAGTATAATTGTGAAAAAACGTATATTCCATCTTGTTTACAAATATAAGATTTCTCTTCCGTATGACTTTGCTGGTGTACATAAAAACTGGACAATTACACGGAAACATCTGCGAAATGCTAAAAAACCTACATGCATTGATTTTAAGTATGCGAAATGAGTTAGCTCATGTCTATATAAACGAGATAATTGCGAAAAACTCTTTCCACATTGTTACAAACATGAGGTTTTCTCCAGTATCAGCTCGTTCATGCAGAGTGGATGATCAGGAATCGTTTACAGTCCAGTAACAGTCCAGTCCTAATCATGTTACAAAATAGGGTTTCTTTCCTCTATGACTTCGCTTATGTGCATGAGAACTGGATAAATGCGAAAAACCTTTTCAACATTGTTCACAGACATAAGGCTTATCTCTGGTATGACTTCGTTGTTGCACATTTAAAGTAGACAATCGTGAAAAACTCTTTCCACATTGTTTACAAACATGGGGTTTCTCTCCGGTATGAGTTCGTTTATGCATTTGTAAATTAGATAATTGTGAAAAGCCCCTTCCACATCATTTACAAACATAAGGCTTCTCTCCATTATGAGTTCGTTCATGCCTATGTAAATTTATTAATAGTTCCACATTGTTTTCAAACAAAAGGCTCGTTCATGCCTGTTTAAAATAGATAATTGCGAAAAAAAAAACATCATTTACAAACATAAGGCTTCTCTCCATTATGAGTTCGTTCATGCCTATGTAAATTTATTAATATTTCCACATTGTTTTCAAACAAAAGGCTTCTCTCCATTATGAGTTCGTTCATGCCTGTTTAAAATAGATAATTGCGAAAAACTCGTTCCACATTGTTTACAAACATGTGGTTTCTCTCCAGTATGAGTTCGTTCATGCACATGTAAACTGGATAATTGTGAAAACCTTTCCCACATTGTTTACAAACATGAGGTTTCTCTCCAGTATGAGTTCGTTCATGCACATGTAAATAGATAATTGTGAAAAACCTTTCCACATTGTTTACAAACATGAGGTTTCTCTCCAGTATGAGTTCGTTCATGCACATGTAAACTGGATAATTGTGAAAAACCTTTCCACATTGTTAACAAACATAAGGTTTCTTTCCAGTATGAGTTCTTTCATGCACATGTAAATTAGATGATTTTGAAAAACTCTTCCCGCATTGTTTACAAACATAGGGTTTCTTTCCAGTATGAGTTCTTTCATGCACATGTAAATGAGATAATTGCGAAAAACATTTTCCACATTGTTTACTTCTCTCCAGTATGAGTTCGTTCATGCACATGTAAAGTAGACGAATGTGAAAAACTTTTTCCACATTGTTTACAAATATAAGGCTTGTCACCTGTATGACTTCGCTCATGCCTACGTAAATTGGATATACACGAAAAACACTTTCCACATTGTTTACAAATATAAGGCTTGTCACCTGTATGACTTCGCTCATGCCTACGTAAATTGGATATACACGAAAAACACTTTCCACATTGTTTACAAATATAAGGCTTGTCACCTGTATGACTTCGCTCATGCCTATGTAAATTAAATAATTGCGAAAAACTCTTTCCACATAGTTACAAACATAAGGTTTCTCCTGTATGAGTTTCTCATGCCTATGTAAATTAGATAATTGAAAAACTCTTCCACATTGTTTACAAACATAAGGTTTCTTCTCCATTATGAGTTCGTTCATGCCATGTAAATAGATAATTGTGAAAAACTCTTTCCACATTGTTTACAAACATAGGTTTCTTCCATTATGAGTTCGTTCATGCCATGTAAATGGATAATTGTGAAAAACCTCTTCCACATTGTTTACAAACATGGTTTCTTCCAGTATGAGTTCTTTCATGCACATAAACTGGAATTGTGAAAAACTCTTCCCGCATTGTTTACAAACATGGGTTTCTCTCCATTATGAGTTCGTTTCATGCACATGTAAACTGGATAATCGTGAAAAACCTTTCCCACATTGTTTACAAACATATGGTTTCTCTCCAGTATGAGTTCGTTCATGCACATGTAAATTAGATAAATGTGAAAAACCTTTCCCACATTGTTTACAAACATAGGTTTCTCTCCAGTATGAGTTCGTTTATGCACATGTAAACTGGATAATGTGAAAAACCTTTCCCACATTGTTTACAAACATGGTTTCTCTCCAGTATGAGTTCGTTCATGCACATGTAAATTAGATAATGTGAAAAACCTTTCCCACATTGTTTACAAACATAGGTTTCTCCAGTATGAGTTCGTTCATCTATGTAAATAGATAATTGTGAAAAACCTTTCCCACATTGTTTACAAACAAGGTTTTCACCAGTATGAGTTCGTTCATGCACATGTAAAGTAGATAATTGTGAAAAACTTTCCACATTGTTTACAAACATAGGTTTCTTTCCAGTATGAGTTGTTCATGCACATGTAAATTAGATATGTGAAAAACTTTCCACATTGTTTACAAAATAAGGCTTCTCACCTGTATGACTTCGCTCATGCCTATGTAAATGAGATAATTGCGAAAAACTCTTTCCACATGTTTCACAAACATAAGGTTTCTCTTTAGTATGAGTTCTCTCATGCCTATGTAAATGAGATAATTGCGAAAAACTCTTTCCACATAGTTCACAAACATAAGGTTTCTTTTTAGTATGAGTTCTCTCATGCCTATGTAAATGAGATAATTGTGAAAAACTCTTTCCACATTGTTCATGAACATGGGGTTTCTCCCAAGTATGAGATCTCATATGCACACTTAAATTTCTCTTCCATTTTAGGTTCTCCTCATATTGTTGGCAAACATATGGTTTATCTCCCCTGTTGGTTTGTAACTTATTATCGGATTTTCCAGTTGGAACAGCCAAACCACTTTTTCTACTTTGTGCATGAATATCAGAGTTCTCTTCGTCACCACTTAGTAAACAACCCTTTCCACAATTATCGCCGGTGTTGGTATGCTGACTAGTTCCCACATCGTTATCAGATGGATATTGGTTTAAATCTCCTGTGCCATAATGATTTTCATCATGAAAATGCTTTTCCAAATCGAGTCCCGATGAAAAGTGTTCATTAAAGACAACCTTGGTGGATTCTATGATTTTGGTATAATTTTCCATAATGCAGAATATCTATATAATGATAATAATTTTTTTTACGTTTCGCAAACACTGACCATTGTCATATAATAAATGCAAAAATGCAGCTGAATGTATGTGATTAGTTTGATACTGACTGAAAAATTTCAGAAGCCCAATCACAGATTTGGAAAACTACGTGATTAACAAATATTCGTGAATGAAAGCAACTAGATCACTGGTATTGTGATAAGACACCTTAATTGGAGGCTGTGTCATTTATACTTCATATTTGAATCTGTGTTGCTTTGTCAGTACTACTGTTTCTTCAACAATTCTAATATTTTAGAAACAATACAATTTCATTGAATATACAGCCCAACATAATATTCAATTATATATAATTATCATCAAAACAATTAATTCTTGGTTGGAAATAGGTAGGGATGGGCAATATAGAATACCGAATCCGGAGGATTCGAATCCCACGGGATCCGATAACAGGATTTGGTTTCCGCCTCTCCGGCGCCTTTTGCATTTCGAGTTTCTAATTTATCAATCACGTTTTTTCTCGCATGGAAATCTCTCTCGTTTAACATAACTTGCGTCTGCTCGTAAAATCGGTAAACGTCAAACACTGTAATCTCAATCTGCATATTCAGAACAAGAAGTCTGAAGTACACCTCACGGCGAAGACTCGTTATTGCACCGCTTTTGCGTTCTACTGATTTGCTATATAGCTAACGTATAATAATAATTATTTGTGCCGACTTACTAGCGATATTCCGATAATCTGATTGCAACAATCTTCAATTGTTTACAGACGTGCCTTGCTTCATTTTACATTAAGATATCTCGAGACCTGCGAGTTTTACCAAAAAAAGATGCATGTAAACCAAAAGCCAGGCGTTAAATGTTATAACATTGCTTGCGATTGATTTAGATCAAATATTATTTACGAATAATTTATTACACCATTTTCCGAAATACAAAATTATATCGCAATACGCAAAAATCTGTTACATTCAAACTCCACTCTCAAAACATTACATTTGTTTCGGTCCGTTTCTATTGTTCAAGATAGACGCACGTTTGATCGAGTGTCTGCAGTAATTTTGTCGCTGGTATTTTTAAAAAAAGTTGCCACATCTGGCGAAGATAGTGACGTATTGAGTTTAATTAGGGCCAAGTCTGTGTAGATAATGATATGTAACGATAATCATAGAAAATGAATTAGTCATTAGATGTTATTACCTAATAACTAAGTACACCGTTTTCCGAAATAAAATGTTATTGCAATACGTGAAAATCTGTCACATTTGAATTTCACTCTCAAAAGATTACATATTTTTCGGTCCTTCCCTATCGTTCAAGATAGACGCACGTTTGATCAAGTGTCTATAGTATTTTAGTCGCCGATAAATAAAAAAATAAAATAAGAAAAGTTGCTGGTAGATAAAGTAAGTCTGGGTAGATAAAGTATGTAATGATAATCATAGAAAAGGAATTAGTCTTTAGATGTTATTACCTAATAACTAAGTACGAAATCACGTTTACGGGAACTTGGTTTTACGAGTCTTTTTTACAACGGCCGCATAGGTTGCAGTGGCCACACGCTGGTCCTGCATCTAATTAATTCTCAGCGGGTATGTTTTAGTTAGTACACTCGGCAGACTAACATTAAAAATGATTTAACGCCGTTTCATATCTATTTTTGTATTTAACCGCTTACTATTATAGTGTGTAAAGCGTGTCTTAATTTAGCATTTCAGTATTTAGGGATTACATACATTTGGAACAAATTGAAGGCAAAAAAAAATAATAATCCTATAATAAGTTTTATTGTCCTGAGAAATGCCTGTTTAGTATCAAATGAAATCCAATGCTCAGGACATTTCCAAATAAATATTACATTTATAGTTATACATTTAAAACTTTTTAACATCTAAATCCAGCATTGTGGAAATTCTCACTTTTTGAATAAGTATGAAAATAGAATAGGATTCGATTTAACTATTCTAGAATAGTAAATTATTCTACATTGCCCATCCCTAGAAATAGGGCTGTCCAAGCGAACCGAATGTTCGAAATCTGATCTTTTTTCACCGGGCAAGCAAAAACATGTTTCTATCGCTTTCTTTGCTGTAAAAAGGTCTCTCCTATTGCCCAATGACCTGCAATTATCCATTCCATGCATGCTCATAAATTAAAAGTAATCGGTAATAATGATTTAAAGATGACGTTTTTTGAGAGAACCCAAAGAAAAAAAAGGCAAATTTAGTATCAGCAAAAACGCCAGTTCTTTTTTTCAAAATTTATTTAAAGATTGTTGCATTCAGATTTCAGATCATCGGAATATCACCAGTAAGTCGGCACAGATAATTATCATACGCTAGCTAGATAGCAAAGCAGGAAAACGCAAAAATGATACAATAACGAGTCTTCGCCTTGAGGTTATATTGCCGACTGTCCTGAATATGCCGATTGAAATTACAGTGTTTGATGTTTACCGATTTACGGGCTCTTTGCGAGCAGACGTAAGTTTAATTAAACGAGAGAGATTTCCCCGCGAGAAAAACGCTCGTCTATAATTGATAAATTAAAAACCTGAAATACAAAAATTGACGCATGGCGTCGGAAAGGCGGAAACCGAATCCTGATATCGGATCCCATTGGATTCGAATACTTTGGGATTCGAATCCTCCGGATTCGGTATTCTATATTGCCCATCCCTACCCTTGGCAACAATATCATCGGTCCAACGTCGTCGTCCTTTCTACTTAACGTTAATTAAAACGTCACATGTTTAATTCGTTATTCAAATATTTCAAGTATCCAGACTGGATTCCATGGCAGGTGCACGCCCGAGGGCGCTAGCGCTCCGCAGAAATGTACGCGAGCGAAATCAATTTTGCACGCCGAAAATTTGCAATTGCTCACCAATGTAAATCGGTTTAAATGGTTTTAAAATCAATAATCCAGTAATATAAAGATGACAAAATATTATAACTCCACAATTGTCGACAAATACCAGCTTGCAAGATTTGGTCTGATCGAAATATTGCGAAGCAAAAAGACCATGGACCTTTCCCCAACCTTTGACCCGCGAAAAATTCCTCTCATTGTTACGTCCTTTTTTGCATCTTGCTGATTGGCCAATGTCATGAAATAAACAAGGAAGTCGATGCTCGGGGAAAGGTCCATATCGTGTTGAATGATAGGAAATAGGAATCCAGTGAGAATAGTTATGGACGAAAAGATCGCCTCCGCACCAATGGCCAAGTACGGCTCTGATTCAGCGTATTTTTCATACAATAATTTTACACGAATGTACTGAACAGTACCGGTATCTAAAGTTGCTCAAACACTCCCAAAATTAGTGACAAAGTATGAAAATAATGTTTGGGGTCAAAGGTCAAACGTTCATTCTGCTCTAATTTGACGTATTTTTTATCCATTAATTCTACGTAAAAACACTACCAAAATTAATGACAAAGTATGTCCATTTTGCTCTGGTTCAACGTATTTTTTATCCAATAATTTTACGCGGATGTACTGAACAGTGTCGGTATCCAAAGTCGCACAAACACTCTCAAAATTAGCGACAAACTGTAGAAATAATGTTTGCGGTCAAAGGTCAAACGTCCATTTTTTCTCTGATTCAACGTATTTTTTATCCGATACCGGTAATTTTACGCGGATGTATTGAGAGGTATCTGATGTCAAAGTCAGTTGCACGCGAGTGCAGTTGTTTTGCACGTCGTGAGCTATAATTGCACGCCAGGAATTCTTATTTGCACGCGGGAATTTCTGATTGCACGCCCGATTTCTCGTTGGTACCGGTGGACGAATACAATATGAATGAGTTTTATCGTGAATATATACTGTTTTATCAATCTTACATCGATACTTCTAAATAATGAAATATTATTCATCCACCTACCGGTATTACAGTATTCAGGTATTACACACATTTCTTTATTTATTTCCCACTGAATAATATTTAGAACCTTGAAAAAAATATCTAGATTTTATAGCTAACATCTAGGCTCCAAATTTACATCTAGATCTTGAGAAAAAAACATCTAGATCTAGATCTAAAACATCTAAAGTGGCAGCCCTGTATTCGAGCTTCCTGAATGCAGAACACCGGGGAAGTCGATTTTGCCTGATCGCTGAAGCAACTGTCACAGATTTTTTTAAATTAATCCTACGCGGAAAAATTACGTTTGTCTCCAAACAAACAATCAATATTCAAAATAGGTGTATCGGCTTCTTTGTGTATTTCTTCTGCTTTTCGAATCAGGAATCAAACAAAAAAAAACGATAGTTGATGTAAATATACGGTAGTACTGTCAATAAAACTTCAATTTTTGCAACTGTCATTGATTTGAGGAAAGAGTTCCGATTTTTTGTTATTCTTTCTTCGTATGATTGTGTTTAATTAAGTACCGGTACATGTGTTAACATAATATTGGGTTGTTCTTATGATCTATTTTCTGCATAAATTCAACTGCATGATGTCGCTGACTAGATGACGCATAGAGTCTTTCGCGACCCATCGTCAACTGCAACAAGCCGATTTCCGTTTTCGCAATTTATGTTTAGTACCGAATGCTCAAAACTTCGCAAAATTAATCCCATAGAGCTCACAGATATATTTTTCTCAACAACAGTATAATATCAGAACGATCCATAAGTCTAATTGGCGTCCAAAAGACAATGAGATACTCCTATATGGGTTTCTGTACATTGTGGAGTATCCTGTGAGCTGCTGAATTTGATTATTCCCTCTATGTGTGTGTAATGGATCTTGCTCAACAAGTTCGTCAACTTAAATTCCCTTTATTTGGAAAAATGCTCAAACGGCTTCTAAAATTAACATAATGGTTTTCGGCGTCTTCTTTCACCCTGAAATGCAATTTTTGTTTGTTTATATTGTTTGTTTGCGGAAGCATGGACTTGGTGGTGGAGGAAGCCGTAACCGACCAGTGGTTACGTGAACCACCCAACGACGGCGAGGAATCCAGCAATCCTCTCGCACATAACCATCCCTGCATGGGATTCGAACTTGCGAACCTACGCAGAGTAATTAGAGGTGCGGTGGCGAGCGTATTCCTAACGCTTAGCCCGTTGAGCCACACCGCCACGCAAGTATGGTGAGCCACGTTATGAAAACTAAATGTTACAGGTGCGCGAGAATGAGATTTTACTGCGCAAATAGTCTGGTGGTACTGCGCAATAGCGCGGTTGCGCACCTTGGAGGGAACCTTGCCGGTAATACTGAACTTATCGAAGCAAAAAGCAGTGAAATACATCGGTCACTGAGGCATGTGTCCATTGTCCAGACATATTTTTAAATGAATCCTACGCGGAAAAATTACATCTGGCATAAAAAACCTAACATGTTTCTTCGAGAATCGACTTCCTTGTGTACGTACTCTGTTTTTGAAATCAAAACGAAAGATAACAATTAGTTAATGAATATTTTACAGTATTATCAATAAAATTTGAAATTTTGTTTTTACAAATGTAATTCATTGTATTCATGTTAAAAACGTTGACTTTCTTAATTCTTGCCGTAACAATGGCTGATCAGCCATAACCAGTTATCACCAATTTATTTCTTCACCAGGCTGGAAGTACGACCGATACATACACAAAGTGAAGAAAATATGAAAAAATTGCATTTCAGGGTGAAAGAAGACGCCGAAAACCATTATGTTAATTTTAGAAGCCGTTCGAGCATTTTTCCAAATAAAGGGAATTTAAGTTGACGAACTTGTTGAGCAAGATCCATTACACACACATAGAGGGAATAATCAAATTCAGCAGCTCACAGGATACTCCACAATGTACAGAAACCCATATAGGAGTATCTCATCGTCTTTTGGACGCCAATTAGACTTATGGATCGTTCTATATACTGTTGTTGAGAAAAATATATCTGTGAGCTCTATGGGATTGATTTTGCGAAGTTTTGAGCATTCGTACTAAACATAAATTGAAAACGGAAATCGGCTTGTTGCAGTTGACGATGGTCGCGAAAGACTCTATGCGTCATCTAGTCAGCGACATCATGCAGTTGAATTTATGCAGAAAATAGATCATAAGAACAACCCAATATTATGTTAACACATGTACTTAATTAAACACAATCAGTATTACAGCTAACGACGCATTAAAATGAAAATGTGATCGTCCTGACCAGGGGGTAGTAGTCAGCGATTAATGAAAGTAGGACATGCCAAGAAAAGCGAAAGAGGCACGGCGCTGCACATGTCGTTGTTTTGCCACCATCGGCAGACCTATAAACGCAAGTTTTTGTTTCACCCCGTTGAAAAAACTGGAGCACAGATGGATTTCCATCCCCGCAACCTGCAAAATATGCAACTTTTAAACTGAATTTTTTTTGGCGATTCATTCAATATTTAGGGTGAGGCCATACGAGCATAGCTGAAGATTTTAAGGGGGGTTTGGGGGGGGGCTGAAATCTTTAATTGCCAAGTTAGACCAAAACACCTATCAGGTCTGATCGCAAATGTTAGTTTATAATAGTCCCGATGGTCTAACTCTAAAAAGTGTTTCAAGCCACGAAAAATTTATATGTATGATATAGTAAAACAATTTAGAAGACTTTTATCTTACACTTAAAGGGGGGTCTGACAGATGACGTTTGGTCTAATCTCATATGGTATATCACATGTTGAAGGTACCAGTATATGGAGCCCTTCATACGCTGGAGAAGCAATGAAATGTTGTTGTTTTTTAAATATGACTACAGAATGTGTTGCATGTAGCTGTATAGCATTTATTTTGTTAAAAAATCCTTGAGCTAATCACCTGTTGTAGACTTCCAGTGTGTAAAATAATTTATGAAATTTTAGCTGATTTACTGTCTTTTGTCTCCAGATGTTTCAGAGAGTAGTAGATTTCCGTTTTTGAGGGAAGCCACGTCAGTAGTGCTGTTGCTTATGTCAAAAAAGGTATTTTGCAGTTTGCAAAACTTGGCAGTTGCTTCAAATTCAGACATCTCCGAAATCCTAGCAACAGATGCAGGGAGAACCTACAAAGAAAAATTTCCCCGGTTCATCTGTTATTAATGACCCGAATACTGTTGGTAATATTAGAAATAATAATCATGATCCAAGTATTTAAATGCTCAATAGAAGATAGTATAATAAGAAAATACAAATGAATTAAAACCCAAAACAATTCTTTGTGCTATATCTGTGCTTAATATTTAACAGACATTTTTGGTGACCGTACATTTGAACCCATGTACATTTGAACCCATGCGTATATCCACGGATTCAATCTATATGCGGGTGCTAAAACCCATGGGTTAGGGTTAGTATGGGTTTAACTATCCGTGAAACAAAAAAAAATCCATAGGTGCAATAGCATACAGGTGCAATTGTCATGGGTTCAAATGTACGTGGGTTCAAATGTAATGGAACCGACATTTTTATCAAGCTATTGAGTTAAACATATTATTCTGTTAGTTTACATGGCTGTTTAAAACGTTTTTCAGACATATCTTCATAAAATTCCCTCTAGATGCGTTTCCATAACAAAACCCCATTTGGTGACAGCAAATCATTCTTTAAAAGTGAGTTTCGAGACATCTGCAAAATTTTTTATTTTAGTTAGGGTATTTTGAAATAAATTGCCCACAGCAATTGAACCTTGTCTACCATCTAAGCATGTATGTGTTTATATATAAGTATAACAGCCCCTTTGACAAAGTATTATTTGAAACAAAAATGTGAATACTCCACAAAACAAATTGGAATTAATAAAAGGTAACGGTTCATGGAGAAATATTAATGCATTCAAAAAATGTGGTGGATTTTGCAGTAGCGAAAAAGTTATTGCTATTGATCACAAATCAATAATTTAAAAACACTCGACAAAATAATTCAAAACTTTTTGGCACATCTAAAATTATTGATACGTATATATATGTTGAAGCCATGTTCAGATAATAGCAATTATAGGTATCAAATTTATGTGAAAAAGGTTATTAGTACCAGCCTAAAATCAAGCAAAATGAATTATCATGGCAAACGTAAACGCCTCTTATGTTGTAATATGCAGCTGGTGATTTCGTATACAATGACAGAATGAGTTTGGGAAAAAATTATCAGGATTAGTAGAACTCCATCATAAAACACTAATTAATTGAAGTTAAAATATGTGTTTTTTATTTATGTTTTTCTGCAGACGTCACAATTTCATGGTGGTATTGCTCACCACATTTCTTTTTTTGCTGACAGTTTTAGTTGCTCCACCAAAAATATTTTCATTGATATGGTGTAAGCTAATTTTGATTTTTGGGATAAAGCATCACCCATCAGTCAATTTATATTCTTGCTTACTGCTTTGATCACACAGCATAAATCCTCACACTGTAACTTTTTATGATCCGAAAATATACATATCTCTTATCAAAATTTACATTCCTTGACAAATCATTACTGTTTTGGGTACCTATAAGAACATTTACAACTTACTCTTTTTATGCTGAACAATCGTAGCACATAGCGGCTCTCTACCACATCTACTCATGGGAGCTTTAAAGTGAATTCAAAATCTTACTGTCAATGTGCTTTCGAGTGCTGGACCGGTCTTAGGGCCTTCCACTCAATAATTGTTCTTCTATTTTGTTTTGTAATCTGCATTCTATCAGTTCTATAGTCAAGTATATCGTGTAATATTCCATGTGCACAACTAACTTGAATATTTAAAGTCACTCACTTAATCTTGACGCGAGACAGCGCCGTCAGAACACAGAAAAACGCAGAAAGTCGCACGATGATTTTCGAAGCAATAATAATCTGTCAGCACCAAGTCAAGCGTGTCGGCGAATTCAACACCGGGACCAAATTTCCGGAGTTACACGGGGCTGGTTCCACTGCTGCTGCAGGGAATTCCCGTAGTAGTCAACCTCGTTATGCTACGTCACGTACGTCAGTAATTTCCTTGTTGTTGGCGTGCTCCCTGGAGCATGACGTTGAGTTGATCTAGTTAGTCAATACTTTATTTACTGAATTTTCCGTTCTCACGTACTTTTTAGTTCCCAAATTGTTTTAATTATTTTTGCTGATTTACTTCTGTATTGTTTGACTTAA